TTAATGTCCGTAGGATCTGTCGCAGTAACCCAATTTAATTGCTGATTTAGGTATCTGATTTTCTTTTTTATTTTCCGTGATCATTCTTCCCATGGGCTTATCAAATTTATGTTTTCAAACAACTTATTTTTAATTTTATTTTCTGTTTTGTTTATCTCTTTCCTTTTTTACAGATTTCTGATCTTAATTATTTCTCTCCTCTTACCTCTTTTTGGAGGTTTGCTTTTCATTTTCTATTTTTCTAAGGTGGAAAGTTAAATCTTTGACTTCAAGCTTTTTGTTATTTTCTAGTATATTAGTTATAGTAATATATTTCCCTTTAGCTGTAACAACATACTTCTTTTATCTGCATTCCACAAATTTTGATGTTTTCTTCATTAGTTTCAGGTTTAAATACTTTCATATGATTTTTTACTTAACCCTCACATTATTTTGAATATCATATTTAATTTCTGAGTATATTGGGAGATGCTCTAGATATACAATTTTTAATTGATTTCTAATTTACTTCTGTTGTGGTAAGAGAATATAAGATCCTAAAAGACTGAAATTTTTTGTACTCTGAAGATTTCAGTATTTAGAAATTTACTGAAACTTTTTTGATCATCTAGCCTGTGTTCCATCTTGATGAACCTCCATGTATACCTTTAATAAATATGTATTCTGACTTAAAAAATTTTTTTTGGTAAATATCAGGTCAAGTTAGCTGATAGTGTTATTTAGGTCTTCTGTAGCTTTACTGGTTTTTGTCTGTTTTTTCTATTAGTAAGAAAGAAGTGGAAATATCTTTGTGTACAGTCAGATTTTGTTTCAGGAGTTTTAGTAAAACTCCTATATATAATATAAAATCATTTTATATTATACAGATATTTAGAATCGCTATATCTTTCTAGTGAACTGCTTTTTTATCTGTATGTAATATCCTTGTTTATCTTTTGTAATACTATTTTTTATGCGTATGATTACTGTTGTCATAGTGACCTTTTACTATCCTTTACTTTCAAACTATCTGTGTTTTATATCTAAAATATATGTCTTTTAGACAGCTTAATGTTGGGTATTGCTTATGTTTCCAGCCTGAAGATGTCTGCTTTTTAAAAGAAGCATTTAATTCAGTTACCTTTAATATAATTATTGATGTGGCTTAGTTAAATACTACCATCTTCTTGGTTCTTCACTTATCCATTTTGTTTATGTTCCTCTTTGTCTAGTTTGCTTCTTTATTTTTGGTAAATGAAACATTTTTTTAATGATCTATTTTATTTCCTCTATAGGTTTCCTAAGTATATTTGTTTTTATCTAATTTTATAATGGTTGCTTTCTATTTTTAAAATATGCATCTTCAACTTAGATCTTGAGACAGTAGTATACCCCATAGTACTTCATGCCTTATACTTGACACATCATGTTTCTTACTTTACCCTCTCCTTTTCCTACTTTATAGCTGAATTTTTACACTTTACACTCTATCATATAACCATTTTGGAAACATAAAATTCTATTTATCTGACTCCACTGTCCTTTGCATGATTTTTTTCATATTTTCTTCTTCATATTATATAACTTCTAACTTAAGTTTTATTATTTTGCTTTAAACTGTTGTCTGTGAAGTAATTTATTAGAAAAAGGAAAACATAATGTTTTATATCTACCTTCTTTGTATAATTTTCAGTATTCTTTTTCCCATAGATTCCCTCAGTGAGAATCTGAGTTTGTTTGTTAATATCCCTTCATCTTCTCTGAGATTTTCAAACATTTATTCTATTGTAATTTTGCTATGAATTATTTCATTTCATTTATCTAAAAATGTCTTTATTTTATCACATTTTTGAGGTAAATTCCCTCTGGATTTAGAATTCTAAGTGGTCAATTTTTTTTTAGGACTTTAAAGATATGATCATATTGTCTTTAATCCTCCATTGTTTCTGATAACAAATTATTGAATATTGTTATCTTTTCCCCTCTATATTTAATGTGTCTTTGGGTGCTTTCAAGAATTTTTTTTACCTTGGCTTAAAGTAGCTTGAAAAAATAAGTTGCCTGGAAGTCCTTCTTTTAAAAATTATGCTAATTTTGGTTCTTAAAACTTTTGCAAAAATATGCAAGTGGTTTGCTTTAAATTTGGCAAGTTTTTGGTCATTTTTTTTAAGTGTTTTGCCCCCTTTTATTCTTTTCTCCTGGGTCTTAATTACATGCATTATAGAATGCATTATTTGTCATAAATGTCCTTGGGTTCTGTTCATTTTCAAAGTCTTTTTATCTCTTTGAAAATCAAATTGGATAATTTCTATTGATCTGTCTTAATTTGCTTCCTAACTCTTAATTTGTCATCTCCAAATTGCTAATAAGTTAATCTGATGAATTTTTATTTATTTTATTGTACTTTTCTATACATTCTACTTAGTCATTTTATTTCATTTTCTTTTCTGCTGAGATTCCCTATTTATTCTGTCCTTAAAACCATATTTTTCATTAAATTCAGTGTTTATAAGAGGTGTTTTAAAGTCCATTTGCTAAGATCAACAACATCCAACATCTCAGGTTCTGTCTATGGTTTCTTTTTCTTCATTAAGATTACACTTTCCCATTTCTTTGTATGTCTTTTTTTAACTGAACACTGGGCATTATAGATAACGTGTTGTATATTCTGGATTCTAGAATATTCTTCCAATGACAGTATGTTCTTGTTTTAGTAGGCAGCTCAATTACTGGCAAGAACTTGTATAGACTTAATTTTATTCTTTTTCACCTTGGGTTTATTGCAATAGAAAGCCCAAGGTGTCTTCTTTTTAAGGTCCTGAGTTTATAAGTTCAGTCAGCCTACAAACTCTGTCTCCTGTATAGATCTTGTTGGGGCTTGGTTTGGGATTTTGTTAGGGCATGTCTACAGTAGCTCTTACTCTGAGTCATGGTCTTTACTCATTACATCTTTTGGGTGTCACAGCAGAATGTCAGATATTTTAAGGAGGTATTAAGGTCTCTAATTCAACAGGGACAGAAATTAAACATTCACAGACTGGCTTTTCCTCAACTCTGCACAACATCTAGTGTCTCTCTTTTGCTTTCAATGTCCTAGAAGTTGCTATCTTGCATGGTTTGACTGTCTCGCCTTGCACATGTACAGCTCATCTCTCAGCCACAGACTTGTGGTGTCCTTCACATGGACCTCTTAGGCTACCTCTCTACACAGCCACCTCCTCTCAGTGACCCACCACACCCATTCTAGCAGCTTCAGCTGCCCTGAACTGGGATGTCTGCCTTCTCAGTTCAACAGGACTACTTTTCTTTGCTCAGAGTATAGTCAAGAAATATTCCTCTGGCAGAAACCTATGCCATGATGAGAGACACTTCGTGAGTACTGCTTGTCTCTAGAATTATTTATAGTCCTTGGCTACCTATTGTCTGCCTCCTAATATCACTTGCTTCATATATTTGCCCAGTTTTAGTGTCCTATGCAATAGAAAAATTTGTGTGGTATTTATTTCAATGTGGCTGAAAGGAGAACTAACTGAGTCATAATTAAGGCACTGATAATTAAGAGCATTGATTTTGAATTAAACAGAAATGGCTTACCACTTCTTATGTTTGTCCTTTAACTTCAGTTTCTCAGCGCCACAGTTTCCTTATTTATGAACTGGGAATATTTCCTACCTCATAGAGTTATTGTAAGAAACAATAATATATAGGAGATAATAAATGTTAGCTTTTTAAGGCTCCTTGGTAAGATTATTTATTTAACTTGTAATTTTATAAATCATTAAAATTTTAATCTTATTCATATTAGAATGGAGGTTCTGTTACCCATAAGATGGCCCTGTCTTTAAGACCTTAATTATTTTAGAAAGTATATTTGTGTTTTAGAAAACATTTTAAGGACCTTAAGGAATTCTCCCTAGAAAAATAACAACTCTATAATATGAAGAGAAATGAATTTCAACATGAAGGACTAGCTAAAAGCTATGCAATATTAATGAAAATGGAAGAGATGGAAGCTTTCACACTCTTTTAGTGGTTGTAAGTTTTTAATTATCTGTGCATGGGTAGAGTCTTGGGGAAAGAGTGGTCAGATAGTGACAACATTATTTATTTTTAATTTTGGAATATGTTGTTTATTTTTGCAAAAGACTTACCATCTTAATAATGTTTGATTTGCTTAATACAGAGTCCCCTCCTCTAATCTCCACTGCCAGAGCCACTTTTAATTATTAGAAATTTTTAAATGATACATACATTGACAATTGTGAGAATTCACTATATGAAGAATATCCAAACTTATTAAAAAGCATGCGTCTTTAATCATTTGATTTCTTTTTTTTTTTTTTTTTTGAGACAGAGTGTCACTCTGTCACCCAGGCTGGAGTGAGTGTAATGGTGTGATCTCACCTCATTGCAACATCTGTGCATCCTGGGGGTTCAAGCAATTCTCCTGCCTCAGCCTCCTGAGTACCTGGGATTACAGGCATGTACCACCACACCTGGCTAATTTTTATATTTTTGGTAGAGATGGGGTTCCACCATGTTGGCCAGGCTAGTCTAGAACTCCTGACCTCAACTGATCTGCCTGCCTCAGCCTCTCAAAGTGCTAGGATTACAGGTGTGAGCCACCACGCCTGGCCTTGATTTCTTATGTAATGGATTATTAAAAAATGGAGCAGTATTTTTTTTTTTGCAACTTACATAGATATCAAAAGAAAGAGAGTAACAAGACTTTATTATATTTATAACATATAAAATAGTTATATTCTCTGGTTCATTATGAACTTTCATTATGAACCAGAGAATATAAGTATTTTATGTTAACTCATCCAAGCACTCTCAGATGCATATATAGTTATAGATGCATATTTTGTAGACAAGGAGTTTGACTACCAGAGATTAAGATTTTCTCCATGTTAGATGGCTAGGAATTGTTGAGGTTTAGATTTGAAATCAGGCCCATTCAACTCCACAGTCCCTGAACATTCAACTTAATCACTTTATAGCAGGCAAATCTTACTTACTATAGACATTTTCTTCTTCTGGCCTTTTTCCAATAATGCTATCTCGTAGTTGTCGTAATTTCTCCTTAATGTGGAAACAACCAGGACATAGTTACAATTTTCACATTTTTTATGGGTCAAAAAGAAAACATTGACTACTATTAGCAATACCAATGCTGCTACTTGATATTCATTTGCTACTTACGATGTCCCAATTGCCAACCTTGATGCTTTACACATATTATCTTACTTAATTCTCACAGCTTAATGAAGTGAATGTAAAATATCATCATTCAATTTTGCTGATACGAAAACTGAGGTACAGAAAGGTACAGTAACTTTCTCAAATCATAGTTATAAGTGGTAGAATCAAGATTGGATCCTAGAGTGAAATTCTTTGGGAAGCTGCTTTCCCAACCCAATGCTTGTGGGGTCTACATTGGCTACTTAGTGTGCAAAAGCAGACGGGTTGCACAGTGATGGTTTGCTGCTTCCTGAGCCACCTCCAGCATCTGTGTGGTACATTCCTGCCCAGTGTTCTAATTCTAAAATTTGGAGACTTAAAAGCAGATGATACGTAACAGAATTCCTGTTCTTAGCACATCTGTTGTCTTTCTTTGATTTCCAAATATTGAACATCATCTTTTTAAGCAAAATGTAAAACAAGCTAACATTCAAGAATCCTATTTTAGAACAGAACTTAAGAGTGGCACTTTTTCCTCAGTGTTTTCCTGGAAACCTAGAAACCACTTTTCCTATTTAGTTGTTTCCATTGCCTTACAGATCTCTCCTACCAGTGGTGCCAAACTCTTCTTCAGGTCCTCCGTGACTGTGAGTAGGGGTGAGTAGAGTGAAGGGCAAGGCTTTCCCTTCCCCACCATTTCATTTTCAATGCCAGGGATCCTTCCCAATTCTTAGTTATTCTGGAAACCAGCCTCTATTAACTCCGTGTTTGTGCCATATTTTTTTCTTAGTTTCCTAGAATAATTCCTTCATCCATAATAATATGACTTCAGTTACCTCTGATAACTTCACTTATATTCATAGGATACAAACAAATACTTTTGCAAGCTGAAAGAGAAATACTGAAAAGTGCATAGAAATGCATATTTGTTTACATGTGTGTGTGTTGAGAAAACGGGGAATATTCGTCTTTTTGCTGTTTGGATTTTGGCCCAGTCCCCTATGTTAAGGACTGCCTGATTTCTCTGACAGAATTCAGACCAAGTCATTAAACTTTGATGCTATGGAAAGTAATCTTAGTATCTGTTGGCCTTGATTTAAAAAAATATTTTTAAATAAACATGAACAATATTCATTATCCCATTATTGCCTTATTATTAGGTAAGGCAGATCAGTCTCTAAGTCATGAGTATGAAGTGCCTTATATTCTTCCTAAACCAAGATTAAATATAAATATGCAAACAAAAGAGAAACAACCAGGTTTAATGAAACAACTAGAAAAATATTTTCCAAAATGATACTTAGGTTGGATAACTCTAAATGAAAAACTTTATTATTTAAGGGTCTGAGGAGGATGAAATACAATTGACTTACTTCAGCAAAATCTATACAATCTAACATTGCTAGGAAAGTGATTTGTAGGTCTGCACTTAAACACATGTGTATTGGTGATGACATTGACATGATTGAGAAGCAATGTTGTAATTCTGATCATTAACAATGAAGAACTGCAGAACTCTATAATCAGCATCCTTTAGCATTTATTTGGCAAAATAATTGCCTTTGCTTAGTGTGGCAAAATCTGGATGAGGTTCAGCCACCAACCCACAACCATAACTGCTTTTAGAGACAGGTAATTTCTAACAAGGCATGATTTCAGATGAACTGGGAAAGTCCCCTGGCCCATATGCTATATTGTTTGAAATTTCTCCATATTGGTTCTTTTTTTATTGTTTAAAAATGTTTTCATAAGTATCGTCTTTTAAATGAAAATTATCTCTTGGGAAAGGTACAATATTAAGCCATTATCAATTATTTATACTTTGGCCTAAATTAGCTTATTAAATGTGTTTAATCAAACAGCTATCTAGAACTGGGTTCTGTAGCAATGGGTTTTCTGTGATAAGAAGAAAACACTGTTAAAATATCTTTAGAGTAAAAAGGGATGGAATATGGGAATATGCCTATGTTATCTCTCACTGAGGAATGTCAAGGGGTGTATGTGGTATATTTTGTTTTCACTCTCACCTCAGAACCATGTCCTCCAATTCCATCTCAAGATGTAACTTATATTTACAGAAGACAAACTTATTTGAACTTAATATTCTTGGTATTTCTCTACAAGCTGTGACTGAGATATATATACGTGTATGTGTGTAAATGTGTGTGTGTATGTGCGCATATATATAAGTAAAAGTTTAAGGAGAAAGAATATAAGACTGACTGCATTTTATTTAGGACTGTTGCTTAGTGTGATTTCAATGTATTGTCTTATTCCTTTCCCTTTAAGCTTGGCATACGTAATATACTCTTCAGTGTAAAGATGCTTTACCTTAATCTTGTCAACAAGATTCAAAAAACAGTCACTATACTAAAGACAGGTACTATAAGCTGATTAGGTATTAGCTTTGGTATACTGGGTTTCAGGGTTGACTTCACCAATGGCTGCTGAACATAATAGCTGGATATTTTCAAACATTTAATTGATTGCTTAAAGTATCTTTTTTAGTGATTAATTAAAAAAAAGAACAGTTACTTGTATTCCTTGTGAAAAATGAAACATTAACAAACAATCTAGGGGCTCCACAAGTGAGGGAATGTCCCAGAAAAGAGTGGGATCAGTATTACCTGCTGAATCATTTCCAGGCCACTTTTTCCCATCTGCCAGTGTTTAAATTTCTCCAGAGCTTCATCCACAGACATTTTCCCATTTTTGACTTTCTCTTGCAGGAGGATGAGTTCTTCCTGACCAGCAGTAAGGCAGCCCCTGAGAGTAGGATAGGCTGGACTCTCTATCCGAGACCTGTCTAAAATACAAGGGGAGAGTGCATTAACAGGAAGTCCACGTGTAGACAACTGGGAGCAAAAGCACTCTACAAAGAAGCCACTGGAGTAGCTTCTTCTTAACTCTCTATGAGCAGTTAAAAAATCAACCAGTACATTTTTAATGAGTCTCTTTCTAAGGATGGACGTTCCTGGAACCTAGTCTTATGGGCTTAAAAATGTGTCCCATTACTGAGAAACAGAAAGGGACAAGGGAGGAAAGGACAGTAGCAAAAGTTACATAGTTTGCTAGTTGAGGGTAGTGCCAATTTTGTCTTCTTTTTCTGAGAATTATAAGAGATCATGTGCAAAAAATACTTAGCACAGTGCCTGCTGCACAGTAAGCTAAATGAATGTTAATATTAACAATAAATATCTGTAGAATAAACAGTCTTCCCAACTTTGGGAAAGGGGATATCAACCAACATCCAAATGTCACAAAAGACTTAGGATCATTTGAAAAACGTATTTCCGAAAGATTTAAAATAAATAATTGGTCAGTTTGTAGTGAAATGCTTCCTTTTCAAAAGAGTTTATTTTGGAGCATGCCACATATTATTTCCTCAGCACAAAAGGAATGGTAGATGGCTTGGCTTGAAGCACAGTGGTAGCAAATTGGCAGACCATGGGTGAATTCAGTGCTTTCCTTGTCCACCATGGTGTTTAAAGATATAAATAGGTCTGCATGTCTTTAGAGATGCTATATGTTCTCTAGATTACTGCAATCTCTGTCACACTTTATAGTTATTGGGTGACAACACACGTCTGCTACCAGCCTGGCTGCTGGAACTCATTTGAGTTTGTATCTTATCAATTATTTCCATTGAGTGAAACCTACTTTTTATATTATTTCAGAAAGCGTAGGTAAAATGTCTTAATATACTATCAAACCTAAATATGCCCACAGAATCTGAAAGGAGAGAATTGCCAGTTCTAACTGTATACCAGTGAGCTGACTCTGGAGGGATCTGCCCATTTCTGGGAGTGTGTCTTCAAGAAAGAACAGATGAACTTGACTGTCTAGATAATATTAACAAGGATTTGGGAAATGGGAGGGCATTCAAATTCTGCAGTAATAAGAACCTGTTGATATAATTAGGATTGATTATTTTGGAAAAAGAGGCTTCAAGTGTTCAATAACAAATGTTATGTGTCTGAAGAGGACTTTGGCCTTGGGGTTGTCCTGGAATGACCTTTCATGTTCCTCTCAGTTTTGAGAAGGACTATAACAGTGAATCTTGGAACAGGGACACGGAGGGGGTTTCTTTTCAAAAAGATCCATATGCACCTAAAAATGTCGCTGTGGCCATTCTGATTCCCACAGGAGCTTGCTTTCTTTGTTTGTTTTTTTGTACTTTTTCCCTTTTCACCATTTCCATTCAACACAGAGGCTTTCTTGACTTGTCTTTTCTCTTCAGAATCTATTCACCCAGAACTAAGATGTCAACAGATTCTATACTCAAAATCTTCCTTCAAGGATGATGGAGCATGAAATCCCAGAGGAACTGGAGAAGCACAAGTTAGCCAGAGGGCTAACTGGTTCAGCAGCAAAAAGCACAGATAACAATTGACATCTTGCTTCTTATACCTATACCTTCTTATACCTTCTTGCCTGTAAAAAGCAAATCTTTTTATAGGCCTCTACACTCAAATGCAGTTCGTGAAATGCAGTTAGCAGTGGAATTCTATGTGCCACCCCTGACAGAGGAGAGACGTTGAGCATCATCATTTAACAGCGATGCCATTTAACTATCACCTCACTTGTGTCATCCTTTTGCCTAAGTGTGAATCCATTTTTATTTCAAGTAACCCAGGCAGCTGGATTTTCTGCTCTTTTGGAAGTTAGCTCAAGGAAAGTTTTCCCAGAAAACCTTACCAGTTTTAGTTATGCTATATGTGCCAGTTTAACTTAATTAAAATAATATTAATTCTTTTTAATAGTATTTATTTCAATTACCCTCTCATATGTCTCAATCTAGCTATTAACATATAAGTTAGATGACTCTTTGGGGATATGGTGTTCAGTTGCATGATTGTGCAGAAAGAACAAAAGAGCAAGTTAGGTGCAACAGAGGTCTTAGATGTTACCTTGAAAGTGAGTTGTTTACAACTAAACTGAATCTGCTTTTATATAAATCTGCTTTTACCTTTTTTTTAGGAGTAAAGAGATTAAAGCGTTTGTTTTGATAAATTATGATTAGACATGACAAGTTGCAAAGGAAAATGATTTAGGCATTTCACTACCTTTTTATCTAACCAGTAATTTTTGGTAGAGTTTAAAGATTACTTTATTGCATTTAGATAAAAATTTGATGGGGAAAAGGAGGTAATGAAAGGTTTTCTGTCCTCCTCAATTTTATACATTTTTAGGTTACCTTCAGAAGAGTTAGTATGAATATAATTTTCATTAAAAAGCATTTACCAGACTGGTAACTATGTATTATATACTCTTGTCTTTTAGTGTAAAAGCTTCAAGGTAAACTAATGTTTTTAAAGTTAATTCTTTTTAAGTAAATTTCTCTTCACAAGATTTTCCATTTGATCAAATATTGGTCACATAAACATCAACCAACCTATTGTGGTGAGTATATAAATCTACAGATTAGGTAAGAATGTAAATAGGGCTTTTCATTAAAATTATATTACTAGGTAACTGGCTGGAAGGACTTTATTGAAAATTTGAAAGAAAACTTGATTGCTCAACAAAAAGTAATTTAAAATAGGAAATATTTACTTAATAAAAATCACGTAGTTATTAGAAAAATAATAAAGACTGTAGCAACATAGAAAGTGCTTACTATGACAAGTATAAAAGCAGGCTATGAAACTATACACACATTAACATTTTAACCGTATCAAAGTTGTATGCATAATAAAGCACGAAAAGACATTTTAAAAGATAATATAAGTTGTTCTATTGTGATGCCATCATATTACATATGTAATTGTTTTCTTATGATCGCCAACTTTCTATAATAATACTATGTTGCTTTTACTATATAAACAATTTCTCCTGCCTTAGTAGTAGGCTTTCCCATGGAATGCATACCATTTCAATCCATGCCAGATTTACCATGCTGTAAGCACCATGTCATACGATAAGTACCATGTGATATCACACTATACATTACCATCACACCAAATTAGTTTGTGGCACTTGGAAAGAACTTCTCAGTAATAAGATTTAAAGAACTAGGATCCAGGCATGGTAGCTGACACCTGTAATCCCGGCATTTTGGGAAGCCAAGGCGAGTGGATTGCTGGAACCCAAAAGTTCCAGACCAGCCTGGGCAACATGGAGAGACCCCCATCTCTACATAATTAGCCTGTAGTCCCATATACTCAAGAGGCTGAGGTGGGAGGATTGCTTGAGCCTGGAAGATCAAAGCTGCAGTGAGCTGAGATCGCCACAGCACAGAGCAGACCCTGGCTTGAGGAAAAAAAAAAAAGAGAGAAACAGCAAGAGAGAGAAAGAGGGAGAGAGAGAGAGAGAGAGAAAGAGAGAGAGAGAGAGAGAGAGATCTCATAGTGATCAAAATTTAAACCTAAATTTATTTTTTGTTATTTAGCTTGGAAATTGGTAGGAATACAAGCTCAGGTCCATACAGACAAGTTAAAAGATGCTTGGTCTATTGATTTATTTTTAAGTTTCAAGTAAGGCCTCTGTATCCCCTTAACTTTAGGGTTGCATATATTCTTTGAGATTTGTTTGGTTTCATTTTGTTTTTGTTTTGATGCAGAGTCTCTTTTTGTCACCCTGGCTGGAGAGCAGTGGCAGGACCTGAGCTCACTGAAATCTCCGTCTCCTGAGTTCAAGTGATTCTCATGTCTCAGCCTCTTGAGTAGCTGGGATTACAGATGCACGCCACTACACTTGGCTAATTTTTGTATTTTTAATATACATGGGGGTCTCACCATGTTGGCCAGGCTGGTCTCAAACTCCTGGCCTCAAGTGATCTGCCCACTTTGGCTTCCCAAAGTGCTGGGGTTACAGGTGTGAGCCCCCACACTTAGCGTTTAGTGTTTTATTTTAATGACTGTGATTTTAGAAGATGATTTTTTCCCCACCACTTAGAAAATACAGAAGAGTCCTGAAAACTGGAATAACTGCCACTCATTATTATAATCTTCAGAAATAGGTACTGTTGAGAAACATTGTTTGCCCTGCCCCTATGGCTCCTCTGTGGAGGGTACCTTTTAGTTTGTAATATAGTGGTAGGCCGGTAACAGTGGTCTACTTGGTATATTCTTGAGTTATGAGTAAATATAGAACACCTGCGTATTGATAAGAATCACTGTCTTAGAGCAAATAAATATGTGGATGAGAATTTGCTCAGGGCTTTTAGCCTGGAAAGCTGTCAGCCTCTCAGCTCGCAGGCTGTTGGTCCCCTGGATAGATCCATTCTGTTCTGTCTGGGTGTCTGCCTCTCAATACCTTCAGCACCATCTGGGTGGGGGTCTCCCAAGCGAGCTTGTACTCGGTAAGGTAACATGAATGTCTTGGTGGTTCTCCTTTTTAACTATCTGTTTCTTTCCTTTTTTCCTGAATTAGGATTATACTGATATAGTTCCTGCTCTTTTCTCTTAGTCATGTTGCCTAAGAATCTTTCCACGCCATTAAGTATTCTTTGAAAAATGGTTTTTAAAGGGGGCATTATATTCTAAAATTTGTATATTCAGTAAAGTATTTAATTATTCTCCTACTATGGGATTTTTTTTATTGTTTCCATTTTTCTCCACAATTATATGTTGTTGGAGCTTATAAGCCTTTTATGTGAATCACTGACTGCATTATTTATTTGGTTGGCATAGACTCATAAAAATATAATTTTTGAGTATGATATCTTTTAAAGTTATTGATGTATACTTAGAGCCAATCTCTTTCCTGGAACGTGTTGTTATATACACTCTCACCAGTAGGATGAGGGAGTGTTTGTACTGTTTCACTTTTGATAATATTTTGCATTATGCAATGCAAAGAAGT